AACCGGGGATTGAACTCAGGCCCTTGCGCTTGCCAGGGAAGCGCTTATTCCACTGAGCCATCTCCTTGGCCCCCACTTCATCTCTTCAATGACCAATGATGTTGAACATTTTTTCATATATTTATTTGCCATTTATATCTCTTCATTCTTTACACTCAGTCAAAATTCTCTTCCCTCATTGCTTTCACTTTCCCTCCTCCCAGAAGCAATTCCATTCCTGGGAGATAAAAACTGCAACATAGTAGGGGAGTAGAGGACTGCTACTATGCACACCATCTTTTGTTTTCACTGGCTCCTAGTAAAATGAACACACAGACATGGAGGTGCACACCTACAATCCCAGCACTTGGGAGGCTGAGGCAGGAGGATTACCTAGAGAGTCTCGCCTGGCCACATAATGAGTTGAAGGCCAGCAGAGTGAGACCAAAAAAAAAAACAACCTGCACCGAGTCTTTGGGTATTATTGTTCTCATCAACCAGCATCTGCTGAGATGACTAAGGCCCATCACACCACTGGATGGACCAATGCAAAACGCTTCCATCTCCCATGTTCCAACCCAGCTCCTTCCTTCTAGTCTGCGGGCCACCCTCACATCTCTTCTAATCACCCCTGCTGGGCCTCCTGGAACTTTTGGCCAGTGAATCCCCATCCAAAAGGGAACAACCACTCTTAGGCAGGCTCAGGGGCACATGATCACACCCTCAGCTCCGAAAAACTGTCTAAGAGACCTGCAACCAAGCAACTCTGGGATCTTTTCCAACCTGGCTTCTGACTCCACGCTCCCACTGAAAATACCAGTCATAGCCCCCTACAACTTCCACGTGATTACCACCTTTCTCAGTATATTAACATCAGCATCATAAATCTGACAAGCCCTTTCTTCTGGAAAAACTTTGTCATCTATGACACCAGACTCCTACAGTGTCTACCATACTCCTAACACCAACCTTAACTTCTAGTTATTCCTCAATTCATGTTTTCCCTCTTTCATCTTTTACCCAACTTTCAAAACCTGACTTCTAGGGGTTCCATTCTAGGCCTTGTCCTCTATTCTCAATATTTTCCAACTGCAAGATTTTTTCCACTGCTACAGCAGGAAAAAATGCTGGGTAAGCAAATTCCATTTGTTTTCTTCTTTCAGGGCACATAGAAGATTACATTTCTCAGCTCCTCTTGTAGTCGGATGAGGGCTATATGATTGGATTCTGCTCAGCACTACATGGGAAGAAGTTACAGCACTACGATAGCTGGCCATAAAGCCACCTAAGAGACTAGCCATAAAGTCCACTGTTCCCCCTCTATGACAATTCTGAGGTCACATGCTTAAGGGGACAATAATGTAAGACAGAAACACCCTCGAGTCACCAGTCAGAAACTACCCAAGAAAGCATCTTTAACACACACTGCATTGTAATATGTGCAAATATATGTTTCTATATATTTGTTCTGTACATTAGAGAAAACAGCATTAAATACTGTGATGAACTACCACATTATGCTGATTCCCACAAGTGCATCTCAAAGTCAAACTTCTTCGAATTCCAAACCATATAATCCAATGCTTATTTAACATTTCTACTTGAACAACTGGGATCTTAAAGAGTATCTCCTTTCAACTGGGCATGGTGGCAGCACTGAGATGGGAGGATCACCACACATTTAAGGTCAGCCTGGGTTACATAGTGAGTTTAAGTCCAGCCTGAATTGAACTGTATAGTGAAAGCCTTTATTTAAATTAAAAAAAAAAAAAAAAAAATCTCTCAGACTTCTGTGTCTGTCCTTGAAAGCATTAACAGCTGTGGAGGATAAGCACTTGCAGAAGGAAAATAAATACAAGGTGGAGATCAAGGCTGTTTCTGACAAGCTGAAGGAGGCTGAAACTCGGGCTGAGTGTGCAGAGAGGTCAGTAATTAAGTTGGAGAAAAGCACTGACAACTTAGAAGAGAAATGGGTTGGGGAGATAGCTCAGTAGAATAAGTGCTTGCCTGGCAAGCACAAGGGCCTGAGTTCAATCTCCAGTTCGGAAAAAAAAAAAAAAAAAAACTTAGAAGAGAAAGTGGCTGATGCCAAGGAAGAAAACCTTAGCAGGCATCAGATGCTGGATCAGACTTTACTGGAGCTAAACATGTGAAAACCTCCTTCACTGTGCTACATTCTTTCATTTGTTTGCTATTGTTTCAGTTTTTGTTTTTAACACCTGCTTGTGAAACTCCTTAAGTGCATTTTTATTTACTTTTACCACTGTCACAGAACAAAGTATCTGCTAGAGCAGGGGGTGGGTCACACACTAAGGCAAGACTCTGTCAAGAGCTAAGGATTTCAGTGTACAATTTCCCAAGGTGACATTGCTACACTTTTGTAGAGTTTAGCCACACAGATTGCTTAATCTGTGTAGGACTCCTCAATGAAACAGGAAAGATTTCCACACACAGTGCCACATTTAGGGGCTACAGGAAGGTAGAGACACAGTCAGGTGGGGATCAGTGCTACTTTTAAACAAAAAGGTTTGGATCCAGACAGCTATAGTCCCTAAAGGCAAGGGTTCAAAAGACAAGCTGCTCTTAGACTGAAGGTTCTTTTGGGATGGCACATTCCCAGCACACTGTTACTCTGTAGAGAAGTCCACATGGATTTCCACTCTTTCCAAATCTCCACATTCAAGTGAAAAACTTAGGCACTAAATGAAATTGGTAAAGAAAAAAGCATTTTCTTCAGAATTTTAAGTATATGTAAACACTGTACAATGACGTGAAATAAAATGCACATTTAGGACATTTTCAAAAAACAAAAAAACAAAAAACTTCTGTTTCTGTGGTGGACTGACAACTGGTGGTCAACTTGTAACACCCA